GGAGACCTACATGGTACCATAGCAAATGTTCATCTACAAAACCTGTGGTGTCTCCAAGTCCCCCATGGAATGCACTCAAAATTCTCTACAGCTTTTAAAGTCATGACCTTTTAACATTACTTAGTTGTCTCTGTAATTTAATTTCCAGCTGAAGATCTCATTTCCTTCCCACTGCAACACTCAATTTTGTATTGTCTGTTTGTTGTTAAATTACCTGGGGACGTCTTGGTTGAGTGTAAAGCATCATCCATCCTTGGCTCCCAAGACATTTCAGCTACATTTATCAGAGACAAGACTAGACTGGAATCTTTTATCCAAACTGAAGACATCTTGGGCACAGCCAAAACAGTTTCATAATTCAGTTTCATAGAAACAGCAATAGTCTGAGCTTTGGAAAGATGAGGGGAGGCATGACTTTTTTCCTCAGAGGTTTAGCATCCATGCAAAGACAGAAAAATTGTACATGTGGAGATACAAATTAAAATCATTCAAGCCTGCAACTGACAGACACAAATCCAACTGAAGAAAGGAGCTGGTAAAACTATGGCACAGGCTGGGGCAATGTTGATATCAAAGTCTTTCCCCCTTCCACTCTGAACACATGTAAAAAATCATAAGGACAGGGAATATGAGCACTTTCAGGTGAGCAGGGAAAAGGAAAACCTCTTCAGCCATTGAGCAAGCCACAGAGATAGACAGGACAGACAGAAGCAAGGACCAAATGACAGAGCTACAATCATGGAATTACTACAACAGGTCAGGTGGCTGAGAACAGAATTGTCACAATTTTTCACTCTCTTAGCTACCGAGACTAATTTGCTGTTTGCTTTTTTAAAAAATGAATGCATAAATCAACTATTTTAATTACACAACAACATGATAGATGTTGTTCCTATGTCAAGGGGAGATAAGCAGCTACAATACTGGAAATATAACCTATAGTGTCATTTTATAATCAATACCGTGTGACTGCATATTAAAGGAGGGAATAAAAGAAGGCATTTTCAGAAATCTAATGGGAATCAAATGTCTATATGGCCTTAAAATTACTTTGGAGTAAAGTACAAGGCTTCTTTGAAAATGCCTAAGCAAGATCTCAACACATCCAACCCTAAAATCTAAAAGATTAACAGTGGTAGAGTGGTGAACACAGAAGTGAATAAATTCACCCATTTATTAATCCAAGATGGCAATTCAAAAGACATGAAAGACATGCCTTTACCCTACAACAAACAACCAAATGTACTGTCATTCTTAAGTCTGGAGAAAAAAAAAAAAAAAAACGTGAATTCTCATTCAAATTCGTTCAGTAGCACAAGCCATAAAAAGATCCATAATTCCTGCCCTTTAATTTGCATCTCAGTTATTTCACAACTTTTCAAAAGGCATGGATAATGGACAGAAAAGCTACAAGCAGTGATTAATGTACTGCACCTCTCAACTAAGCCCTCTCAGTAGTTAATTGTCAAAAATGTTCATTTGTTTTCTGGTTTGAACTTGTCTGACTTCCATCCATTGGCTCTTCTCCTATTTCTGTGTACTAGAATAAAGATTTAGTTAAGTACCTCTATTCCTGACATTTCTAAGCCATAACCTTTTCCAGGTAACTTAAGGAGTTCAGTCATGCAGCTTTCTATCATCATGCTTGTTTTCTGACAACAAATAATTCACCTTGAACTCCCTTCAATTTTCAGCATACTTTTAAAGGGTTTGCCACAAAAGAAACCTGCCAGTTGATAAGTGATAATCTCTTTCAAAAACTTGTTTCCAGCTGCTGGAGTGGAGCACTTCAGAGAACAAATCTCATACTGTGCTGGTTTTGGCTGGGGTATAGTTAATTTTCTTCACACCAGTCCAGGCTGTGCTTTGGTTTGTGCTGGCAGCAGTGCTGGTAGCACAGAGATGTTTTGGTCATGGCTGAGCAGAGCTCACACAGAGCCAAGGCCTCCTCTGGCCCCCAGCCGACCCCTCAGCCAGGGGCTGGGAGGGGACAGAGCCAGGACAGCTGAGCCCAAGTGACCCAGGGGATGTCCCTGTGGGGCCAGGCTCAGCACTGAGCTGGGGGAGGAGAGAGAAGGAAGAACATTCAGGGTGATGGAGTTTGTCTTCCCAAGTCACCATCACACGGGGTGGGGCCCTGCTGTCCTGGGGATGGATGAACACCTGCCCAGCCATGGGACATGGGGAATCAGTTCCTTGCTCTGCTCTCCCTGTGTGCACTGCTTTTGCTTCATTTGTTCAAATTAATTTATCAACCCACAGGTTCTCACTTGCACTCTTCTGATTCTCTCCTGCCAAAGTGAACAATCAAAGGTGAAGAATAAAAGTGCATTTAATCCATTATAACAACAAGAAGTACCATGTGACTGAAGAAGCAAGTCTTCATTCCAAATTCGAACTTTCAAAATGCAAGTTTGACCCGGAGGATCATGAAGCCAGCTGCAGTACTGATAACAGGGGACTGTGTGAGGCAGAACAGGGAATGGCTCTGCTCCATCTTCTGAAGTACTGTTTCCCATGAGCAAAATAAATTACTGTGTGCCTCATAAATATCTTTGATACAGCCCTTAACTCCTTCAGTTTCCAACACAACTTTTTTAAAACACTTCTAAATATAACATACATTAGAAAAAAATCCTAAAAAGATTTTTTAAATGGATTAACCAAAATTATTTTCCATAGATTCAGTCCTTTAACACACAATTTCCTTGAGGGCATACAATCACCATCAAACAAGCAAAACTTAATACTGTTTTATGTGTGTGCACACACTAAAGTTCTTCTGTCAACCATGAGATGACCACATTGATGGAGGCTTCTAGTCAAAAACTGAGTGTCTTTGGATTACAGCCAGCACTGCTACAGGCATTCTAAAGGCACTGGTAGCACTAGGAATAGCAGCAACTGTGGCAATTTTTCAGTTTGACAGGTGCTAAATACCACTGAACTTCATTTTAAGTCCATTTTTATTGCAGCTATTGCCCAACACTCCTTAAATGACCTTACAGGAAGATAACTCTAATAAACAGCTTTAAACCAGTGCCATTCCAGCTGAATGATACATGGACAACTTCCCTTCAATAGCAACAAAGACCCACATAAGAGAAAAGGGAGTGTGCACCTACTACAGCATCCCAAGAGCAGAGCTGGCATCTGCCACTGAGCCCCACCTTATCCCCAAGTGCTTCACCATTTTGTCCTCTCACTTCCCCTGAAAACATTCATACTGCAAAGGTGTTAATATCTAGGTTGATACAAACCAATGTAAGTTTTACTCAGCTTTTATTGAAAACATTGCACGAAGTCACAGAGCAAGAGAAGTTTTAGTACTCACTGTGGTACGTAGCTATTCTTTTTGTCAAATTTCAGAGATGTGACAATATCAAGGAAATTAAAAGCTTGTTTTAATTCAAAGGAATTGCCAGACTATCTCCTGGACAAGAGAGAAAACCTGCATTTCTCAGACACAGGTATCTCCTGGCACATTTCAAAATGGCAGCCTGGCTATAAACAGATATTCTCAACCCAAAGGAATTTCTTAGTGGATGCTGCCCAACCATCACCCCAAACGAGTCTGCCATTTGTATACTGCTACCACTCACAGAGGTTTGATCTATATTTATTGATCAGAGTCAATGTGGGACATTTTAAAAGGAACAGCTTTGATTTCCCATCTGTCCTGTAAACTTTCCCACTGAAGAAGTCCATTGCTATACTGCACTTCATGGCTTATGTCTGAAGAAAAGGTACAGAAGCAGATAACTGCATTTCTTTCAAGAGCACCATTCATTGTTTTCAGTATATAAACCACTTATTTACCACAAATGGATTCACACTCAGATCATATACAAATATTTGTCTCCAACAGATGCAGTTACTCAGCATTTTACCAGAGGGACTATGAATATACCCTTAACCTAACACAAGTGCATATAAATTGTTATCAATTAAATGTGCATACTTCCAAAACATGTCCCAAACTCACAACAGCTTCAGTCCCAAACCAGCTCAGTGATTTTTGCACAGCAATCCAGCCAATTCTCAATCTTTTCACAAAAAGATTCCTTTAATTTTAAAGCAGGACAAAATTCAAAGCATCTTCTACACTAAATACAAACATATATTCAATTTCAAATCCCTCACTGCAGATCCTCCAGTGTTCTACTGATATGAAAACCTCGGTATCAAGAAGCAGGTAAAACACTCCTCACCATAACCATGTAACTACTGCTCAGATAAACAATGCAAATTAACTAAGACACTGGTAATCTAATCAATTACCCGACATAAACAGCTGCAAATGCTCTCCCCCAAGCACATGAACTGCTTGAACACACTGACACCAAGTGACAGAATTCAGGAAAACACAAACCACAACGACCCCCTTATAAAAACGTTACAGCTTTTATTCTCATGCTCTGGAAGAGGTAAAGTCTTATTTTATCATCAAGAGAAAAAATTAGTGAATACCCATAAGGAGAGCTGATATTTTCACATAAGCTGTGTGTGTCAGAATATCCAACATTAAACACGTGTTAACAATTCAATTTAACCTTGATCTTGCAAACACAAGTCAAAGACCATGTGCACTTCCAAGTTGGATGCATACTACCTCATAAATTCATTTCCAAAGAAGAAAACGTTAGTGGTTTGCATGCACAGAAGTATTGGATTCCATTAGGAATTAGGTGAGTTTGGTTAATTTTTCAAGTAAAAGATAGCAAATAGTACCTCTATACAATTCCATTTAGAAAATTACGTGTTAATGCAACTTTTAATACCTGCTAAGTCTCACTTACTTGTTTTGCCTGTGCTCCTCTGTGCTGAGAAACCAAAACCCAGGCAGCCCAGCAGACGTGGCCCCCTCCTGCTGCCTTACCTGGCACTGCACAGAGCACAAACCCAACGGACAGAGCAGTAACTCCATCAAACACAGCATTTCACCACCTACCCTGCTGATGCTCAGCATTCTGTCTTCTTACAAGCTTCCATGGTCTTACCTGCTGACGTTTGTATGCCAAGTAATCAAGATTCTCCAGATCTTTTTGAAACTTCTGGTAGGTCTTCTGTAGATCAGATTTACTGGATACATTTCTTAAAGATTCAAATGTTCTTTGAAACTGTGAGGGAAAGTAAAAAAACAAAACCAAACCAACAAAAAATTATCATTCATACAGTTGCTGTGTCTCATTCTGTATTACAATAATTTTCTACTAAATGCTAAGACTATTGAGCTTTGTCACCTCTAACCTTCCACATATTCCTACAGTTTTGTGTTGAAACCAATCACAGAATTCAAAGCTTTGTACATATGTCTTCCTCAATTAAATGAAGTCCTCTAATTTCATGGGTCAGACAAAACACAAGCAATCAATCTCTAAAGGTGAGTTCTTTTTCTATGCCAAGTCTCAGCAAGCAATGTAGTCACATAGATTTAAATCTTTTCAACTAAGAAAAGTGTATGCAACCTTATACAGGCCATGAACTCATTCTATCAAGCATAACAGTAGAACTTAGAAATCACAGGGTGCTTCTTATCAAGTTAATTTATTTAAGAGTAATTTAAGACCCGATAATCACCTTGGGCAACGTGCTCACATTCTGCATGAAAACTGTGACAACTCCAATTATATTTCATTATAGACCTTACTTTTCAATTTAGAACTTCTTTCATGCATACACTATTATTAAAAATAGGACTGGTATTTTTCAGAGATGCATAACGCCAGCCCAGCTGCAGGAACTGTAACAGAAAGGTTGATTTGTGTCAGAGGAGAACTGGAGGTCCAGCTTCCAATTGCTACCTTCAGGAAATCATGAGCCTTCTCCTCTGACTTGCTGTTTTCCCAGCAGTGAATACTCTGCTTCCTCTCATGAGCATGTGACTGCTGCAAAGCTGCAGATAGCTCAGTCATATTTTGTTACCACTGTGATTACCATCAGAAGCAAGTCTATAAACATGTATTTACACTGATATAATCAGGAAGAACTACATCCTTGTAAATCCTTCCAAAATATTGACTCAGCCTCCTGCAGTTGCAGGGCCTGTAGGTGAAGCTCACCTGTGGAACCAGTGCCCAGGGAATGAGGCAATGGACTGCTTTCCAGGCACTTCTGTAATACCTACAGCCCACATTTCTCTGTATCTTTGCTTAAACTACAGCCACTGAATAATTGCAATAGTGAACCACAGGAGTAGAAAAGAAAAAAACCCAAAGCCAAACCTCCACTCATCTTGTGTCCCTCTTTAAGAAGCTGACAACATAACTGACAGCCAATGCTGATCATGGATGTGGAGATTCCCTCATTCCTGAACATGTGACTGAGCTCAAGCCCAAGCTGTACATGATGCTGAACAGCCCCCAGGCACTTCTCCTTGGGGATAATAAGCAGCTTCAGTGGATTTCCACAATTTACTACAACTTCAGGAACCTTCAGGCAAGTCAGCACGTCTTGTTTGCCATTCTGCCTTTATTTCAGTCTCACTGCTCTCATAAAGGCAGTGTTTTTATCTATCTGTAATTTATCTTACTTTACCTCATTCAGCACTACTACAGGTTAAATTGGAGACTTTCTAGTTGCATTTAAAGTGTTTGCTACCAAAAAACAAAATAAAATTTTCTCACCCAAAGCATATGTTCCTGAATTCTCTACTGACATGGCAGACAGAAAACACATGCTACGACAAAACTGAAATATTCTCTATTCTTTTCTGTTTGACTTCATTATCTTCCAGTTTTTGTATGATTTCTTGTTTTCAGATTTTATCTCTGCTCCAAAGCTGATCTGAAAGTCTTGCATTTGCAGTATTTGCTTTCATCAATTCCCACTCCTGGCTAATAACCCCTTAGCTGGAAGAAACTTCATTACAACATTTGCAAACAAGACCCGAGTTCAGTTTAAGGTGACCAAAAGCACTCCATAGTCCTTGCTTTTTTTTTCCAAGTAAGAAACTGCTCACAATGTCTCTGGCAAGTTCATCGTGCACCTTCTACTTCAATCCATGACATATTTCTCCAGAACTTTGCCCAAAGCTGTTGCACCCTGTTGTGGGATTGAGTAACACAGGGGTAAGGTTTCCAATGATTCCCAAACTCACTAAATAAACATAAGGTACAGTCTTTTCTTGAGGCGTCTCTTTTGTTGTTGTTGTTGTCTTTTGTTTGTTTTTTTAGATAATCATCAACACGTTAGACTACAATAGAGTTGTAGGATCATCATCATCCTTTTAAGGATGTACTTAATCCCACAGCTTCAGTTCTTCATTAGCAGGAGCTCTGCTAGCAATTTCACCCAGTTCCTTATGTCCTGCAGCAACCTAAACATCAATAATGCATTTGGCTCTCTGGAAAGAGATATAAGGAGCAGCATGAGAGCATGAGCAAATACAAACCAAATGTATAACTATAAAGGCAACATGCTTCAATAAAATTGATGGGTAACTGCCAGAACATCCACATGTCTTTAGATGCAAGGGAGAAACACTTTTTAAAAATCCAGCTCAAAAGTAAATAAAAAACAAACCAAGCGATTTTAAGAAAACATAGATATGCTCTTTGCACTGCCATCAGCAGAAACCAGAAAACTGTGCCTTACACATACAAAGGTTATCAGCACATGTGTTAAACTTAAAATTATATCTGGATCTTTCTGCATCATATTTCTATCAGCGTGAACCAGCATTTTGTGGTGAGTGGTAAAAAAACCCTCTCGCATCTCTCCTGTCTAGAGATGAAAAGCAATACTAGAATTCCTGACTTTTTTTTTCTCTTGCCAATAGCCAAATATAAATAATCATAAGAGATTCACAGAAGCTTTCTGCCTGTCACATTTTCAAAGTGCTTTGAACAGTTTCTAGAAGTTGAGAAGTAGCATTCCTTTATTACTTTTTGCTCTCAGTGGCACTGCTAGGTAGCTACCTGGTCTGATTTTTCCTCCATGATAAAATCCTAGAGATATGATTGATATCACATGTCTGTGATTTTATCATATCTGCTTCTTTGTTTGTCAAGTTACCACAGGTAACTTCATAGCACAGATAGTGCATGGACAACTTTGTACCTTAAAGAGAAGAGCATGACTTTATACTCACTAATACCACAGCATTCCTTTCACAGGAAACCCCAAAGCCACCAAATGCAGAACCAGAGCCCAGCCCCCTGGCCCTAAAACGCAGGGTGGGTAACAGGGCAGCCCCAATGTCCTGAGCAGGCACCATGAGGACATGGCTGAACGAAGGCTCCGTGCTCCTCCGACTGGAAACCAACACACAGCGAGGGCTTCAGCTCAGTGACACAACTCCCTGTCCCATTTCACGTAGCACAAAGTAACAAATACCATCACAACTCTGAAAGCGGTGAGGATCACAAACGTGGGCGGGCCAGAAGAGTGTTACAACACAGCCTCCTTGGAAATATGATGTTCCTGATCAGTGTAAGGTAAAGTGCTGCAGCCTCCCCTCACACACCGACCATGGTTTATTTAATTAGCAAGCATGGCTGCAAGCGTCAGGACCGAAACTCACATGGTCTCACATCCTAAACACTGCAATGTCAAAGACAAGAGGTGAGCTCTGACTCGAGCTCCTCCTGCAGTAAAGCAGATTAACAGCTGGGAATCCTCTGCTGTCTTTATGGGCTCCTGACAGCATTTTTGAGGTTTACTCCACTATCCTTCTACCTACTTTCAGGAGCCTTGGAACTTCTGCTCTGCTGTCACAACGAACCAAAAGAGGCAATGAGATCAAAGAAAAGAGGCTGAGACAGAGTGGCTGCACATTTCAAAAGGAAATCGTATTACGCTAACTAATCGTACTAAAATTTTGATACTGCTTAAACCAAAATTTAATACTTTTCATCTTCAACACAAGCCATGAAAATTAATGGCTTAGCAGCTAAGCAGGAGGCCAGGACACAAAATTATGAGATTATAAACATGCAATGCAAAGTGCTTCATTGCTTATAATTCAGAAATGTGGGAAGCAACATCATAAAATACAGAGTACAAAGCCATACTGCTGGTAACCACCTTCCAATCTCCATATAAACAGCAACAGGGAGGGGGGCAGCAGATCCTGCTTCTCCAGTCTGGGCACGATGCTACTGGACACACCACACACCTTTCCTGGCACTTCCTTTACAAAATTTCCTCCTACACAGCTGGTTCAGATTTAGGGCCAGTGCTGCAAAAAGCAACTCTGTTATTCATGAATTAGGAGAAATGGTTTTCTGTTCATCTAGAGCTACACAAGTTGAAGAGTATTTGTATCTCAGAGTATCAATATTCTCATGTTCCACTGCATAGGGAAGTACAGTAGGACTGAACTATTTTTTCCATTGGTGAAATGTTTCTCTTTATTTTCATATGGATTATTATGAGTTGAATTAAGGACAGGAAGCAAATTTTACTTCCATTTTGACATAAGGAAGCTGTCCAACGAAGAAAATACCTTCTTATTTTTATAAGGTACTGGTTCTTTAAAAGACTAAATTATAGTATATGTACTATTTAAATTACCCAGAGATATGGTTGGAAAAAAAAAAACATTCACAACCTCTCTTAAATTCCAGTTACTGAACACACATACTTATGAGGAAAAAGCTGCTCTTCCCATATTTTGCTGTAATGAAATGGGCAATGTGCCTCCTTTGGAGAGGTTTATAGAGAGCAGCTCAACAGCTTTTTCCATTCAGAAAATATCAGATGATTTTGCTGTCATTTTAAGGTCTGAAGACATACACTTTGATGATAAAGCAGATACTGTTTGTTTTGCATGCATTTCCTCATTTCTGCCTCTCAAAGCACAAACAAATTATAACATAAATTTCTCTAGATCAGAATGATCTCTGCATGCTTGAACTGTTGATCAGAATAGCCATTCTACTTTACACCAACTTTGTTACTAAACTACCAATAAATAATGTGCCAGGACAAGATAATTTCCCCAAGATGATTTTCCCAGCCTAGAATTTGCCTTCCCAAATGAGCACTCTAGAGAAGGAAATTTCAGAACATCACTTCCATATTATTCTCCTATAAGCACAGCACTTGAGTGGTGTGTGCTGCTGTAGAGGCCAAACACAGTACCAGACACTCCAAAGGGAAGCCTTTAGCAATGTTCCCTCCCTGGCAGCTTCAAACAGAGTCAACTGCAATGGAGCCCTGGTCACTGACTGGAGCATGCAGGCATCTGCACAGTCCAAACAATTATTTCAAACAGGCCTCTGCTTTTCTAACATCCCACCTTCCAACTTCATCACCAGACACCAGATGGATTTCTCACACTCAGCTGGACTTCTGATGACTTTAAGCATTGTATTAACCTCTGCTGCAAGCCACCTTCATGTTACAGATCTCCCCAAGCTTTGTGTTTACAACTTAACTTTCCAGCAGGAATTTATCATCCCACAGCTTGACAATTATTTATTTTTATAAGTTACAAAGGAGCAGTCAAGAGGCTCCTACACCAAGCACAGAAGTGGATCCAGATTCCTGCTGCACTCAAAAGGATGCTCACTTTGAAAGAGCCAACTCTTAAAAGCAATTCTTTGGAAGCTGCTTGTTCTCTTATTTCCTGCACATCACAGAGTGCCATGGGATTTGCAGTGTGATGACAAACACTGTAGCCCTGATTCCAAACAACTGCATCCTTCATACCACAGACAGACCTCTGACTGGTAGCAGGAATCTCTGGTGGATGAGAGAATAAATAGGAATACAAACCATCTTCTCTCAAAGACTCCTGTCTTATGCTCCAGAAGTTCCCCTGCCCTGGGAGTGACCCACGCCCAACAAAGGAAAGTGGCAAGAAGTTAGAATTTATTCTGGCTACTGCTGTAAAACACAAGGTTTCTATAAACATATTAGGAACAAGTGGAGGGCTAAGGACAATCTCCATCCTTTATTGGATGCAGGGGGAAACACAGTGACAAACAAAGAGGAAAAGTCTGAGGTACTTCTCTGTCTCAGTCTTCAGGAGCAGGACCAGTGGTATTCCAGGTACCCATCCCCCTGAAGCTGAGCACAGGGATGGGGAACAGAATGCATTCCCCCAATCCAGAATGAAATATTTAGTGACCAGATACACCATCCAAGACCCTCACAAGTCCACGTGCCAAAGTGCTCTGCTGGAGGGGAGGAAGGCTCCACACAGGGATCTGGATCTATCAAGCACAGTGCTGGGAGTTGAATCAAGCCTCTGAACCTGAAGCACAGGGCAGCCCAAGATGACTTTCCTCTTTCATTCCATGTAACCCTACCAAGCTCCTGCTCAGAACATTTTTTATGCTGATGAATACTCTGCAGGAAAGGGAGGAACAGACAGCACTACGCTCACAGGGCCCAACTTCACAAGTTGCTTATCTCTAGCCATTCTCTTTTTTTTTCCTTGGCAGGAGTTTTAAATAACTCTAAGCAAGCATTTTGTAAAGACCATGCTGTCCGAGGCGTTCATGAAAAATAAGAAGACTTATACAGTAAATCTACAAGCATGACATGAAGGGGAAAAAGGCAGATAAAACATGTTGGCTCAGCATGATCTGAAACAGATTAGAGAAAGACAGACTGCCAATGTTCTTTGCATGAAATTCTCCAAACTTGTTACTTTCCTGCTGTTCTCTTCTGATCAATGAATTTAAGCAATTCCATTAGTCTGTTAATTCACTTAATTACATAATATCGAGCATTACTAACCAAAATAGATGAGCTGCTAAGAGCTCTGAATCAGAGACTGCAATACACAAAGATATTCCTTTGTCTGGCCACATTTCTCACAACTCAGTTGTTTCTTTAGAGACTTCATTTAAGCATGGAAACTCAGACACAGATAGCTATTTATTTAAACTCTTATCTGTTAAAAAAAAAAAAAGCTGTTTAAAGAAGGAAAAACCTTTCTTTTTGGTGTGATGTACTTTATTTTTTCAGTCAACTCTAAAAGGATCTTCCTGTTTGCACTGCACCCTCACAGTCTAATAGGACAGTGAATTCCACAAGTGGTCAGAAGTGTTCTGTGCCAGAATGTGATCAGTCACTGAGAGTTTGCATTGGCATCTAGTGTGCATTGTTTAAACATACATTTATTTGCTCTTTGGTGAAGATCTGATAGAATTCATTAAACAACCACTTTATTAGCAAAACTTCTAAAAAAAGGTAATACTCTGTTCATAAAGCTGGGGTTTTGAACATTTGGTTAAAAAACCCTGCCAAGATTATCAAATCCTTTCAAACTCACTTACCTGTCACTTCTAGTTTTGAAATGTCACATTTCAGTGGTTTTGTGACAAAAAATATCCAGTATTTTCAGCATTACACACTGTTTAATATGAAGATTTTATTGCACAGAATTCAAAACCACTCCTAAGTCTAAGCAAAATGTACAGAAAACAATATTGTTAGAGACAACCTACACTGGAAGGAGATAGCTGAGGTTCATCCTTTTTTCTAGATATCCATCATCAGGCAGATATGACAGGTAACTGTAGATAAGGCTTTCTATGACAACCAGGCACATTGTCTTTGTTTTCTTTCTATTTTTATTCCCAAGTTAGTGAGGAAATTAAAGTTTAATGATCCAGAGTGTATTCTGTCAGTAGAAAAAGGTATAGTTTTAAATGCCAGTGTGGGAATTAACTAGTCTTAGGGAGTGACCAAGACTAAAAACTTTCAGCACTGTTTGATAAATGGATTTGGAAAATATTAGATACTTAAATAGGTAATTTCCCATTAAATACTTCCCTATTGAGCAAGATCTCACTAATACTGTAGAGTTCTTTGATGATGCTGTACCAAATTCTTTCATTTTATACATGCAAATAAAGAAAGGGCCCTTGATTAGAATTTTTATGTCTTTTATTCTACTACCTTTTTTTTAATTTTTCAAATTAATTTTGGCTTAGTCCTTTCTAATGTCTTCATTCTAGCCCATGAAAATGATAGTGCTCAGAGACAAGGAAATAAAGAGCAATGAAATTCCCCATCTCTTAAATGATAACAGCTCTAACACCCATGTCTGAAGGAGAGGATAATATGGTAGAAGAATTAAGGTTTTAGAACAAGTGAAAAGAAAAACAGCTTTTAAGGAGCTGATTTTCAAGCCATATGAACTTGCAAAACCCAAGAATATTACAGCTGATACAGCAAAGACAAAGTCTACCTTGACACTGTGTGAATATAATGTCTTTTTGTGGGAGCAAGTCCATGTCAAAGAAAAACTGAATTCCTAAGAGAGTTTTGAAGTATAATGATTTCAGTTAAGCACTTGGAATAGAGCCAAGCTGCAATTCATTCAAATATTTAACTGTATTTAAATCTGGCTCAGTTAGCTGTGACCAAAAGTTGTTAGAAATTGAGGGATGTTCAATAGCATATGTTGAAATTACATTAAGTCAATTTCCTAATTAGATGTCAACATAAAAAGACACCATTACAGCTAATACCACTGCTGGCAGGTTCAACAGCCAGAGCACAGACTAAATAAATATGCACAATGTAACCCTCTCCTCTGAGAACTAGGGTGAGCCTTTCTGCACAGGCATTACTGAGAGTGCTATACCACATTAATTTATTCTAAGGGTTCATTTACAAATTCAGTTCTCCCTCCTATTAAGAGGAAGTATGGAAGAAGGTGACAATTTAATGGCACTCTTTGCAGTGCTGGAGTTTTTCCTGAATGATACTCTGCATTCTTCCATCATTCAGTTATATTTTGTTTTCATTTTCAGATGGAAAATGTGAAGCAAATCAGACACCTGTTTAGAAATACTGAAACTCTAGTAAGGAAACCCAACTAATTTTACTTCTCTCATGAAAAGCATACTCAATACATCTCAGAAGAGAGCATCTAGGATTATGAAAATAAATATTAAAAATGTAAGAGATTACCATGAAAAATATTGTAATTCAAGAAAATTTTCCACAAATGAAAGTACACAGACAAAGCACAAAATATACAGGCCATTGCTATTAGAGCTGACAAATCTAAACATACAGAACAACACAGAAGCTTCTGCAAGTCAGTGTTAATTTAGCCTGTAGTGCATCTCTAGCAGTTGTCAGTGGTAGGCCTTTCAATCCCAGTATTAAAACCCACACAACACTGGTTTATTATAAAATATTTTTCCTACTCTGATTTGGAGCCAAATTTTCATTTTCTCATCCTCACCAAATTGAACATGCTTCAACATGGTCCTCTAAGTCATTGTGCTCTCTTGTGACGTGAGGCATTATGAGAGGTGGCACTGATTATTCACCTCTGCCCTAAAATATTAGGAAGTCAACAGAAATTTGTGCTTTTATCAGTCTCTCATAAATTACTGAAAGTATTAGTGGGAAAAAAAAGGAACCAAAAATAGATCAAGTATGCTGTGCTGCAAGTGGATCAGTTTTTTGGTCCATTTACAAATGTCATCCAGAATCTACACCTGCCCAGGTGTTATGTGCACGAGACCTGCAAGGCTCAAGTGCAGAAGGAGCCCTGAGCAGACACAGCTGTGGCTAAGAGGAGCCTGAGGGGAGCAGAGCCTTACTCACCACAGTCAGGTGCTGCAGCAGATAGGCCACGTCCTCCATGTCAGCCAGGATGAGGAGCCTGGTGACAGCGGCCAGCAGGGAGCGAGCTGCGGGGACAACAGCCTGCCTCCTGGGCAGGGAGCAGGGATCGCTGGTGAACGCCTCTGCTGACACCTGCAAGGCCTGACCTGCAAAAGGAACACAAATTCCCTTAGGCTGCCTCACAACACCCCGAGGAAAGCAAGTCATTGAAGTGCTGTCGGTTCTTTGGCAAGCCACAAGTATTGCCAATAAATTTGGTATCTCCTTCTTGCCCTAGTGCCTTGAAATGAAGGTCAGTTATTACAGATGGTGCAGGTTAATGTTCCACATCTTCCATGATGTTCCCTTTCTGTTCTACAGCATCATTTAATTCTGAAATAATTCCCTTGGCCTTCACACTAGTACTCTTAGCTGTACACAACAAAGCCAGGGGCTTTGTTAAACCTTTCCAGTCACTACTTGTTATATTACTGTGTACTTTGGTGTCCTTGCTATTAAATAATTCCTGGTCACAGAATGGAATCAAATATTACTCTTCTCATTATAAATATAAGTTAATGGAATGAAAACCTCATACACTCAAACATCTGACTGTCATAAAGTGAAATCTGTGCCATGGAGCTAGTGTCTGCCAGTAGACAACAACATCCTGTTCTCCAATGTGAAGTTTGGTAAATGAAATTCAACAATATGGACAACAGGGACAAAGACCATAAATACCTGAAGGCAGGTGAAAAGGAGATGGAGCCAGACTGTTCTCAGTGGTGTCCAGCAACAGGGGGAGCAGCAATGGGCACAAAGTGACACACAGGAGATTCCATGTAAACATCAGAAAATGCTTTTTCACTGCGAGAGGGACTCAGCAGTGGCACAGGCCAGCCAGGAAGGCTGTGGAGTCTCCATCCTGGGAGATGTTAAAAACTTGACTGGCCATGGTCCTGGGCAGACTGCTGGCCCTGCCTGACCTGGGGCATCGGTCCAGACAACCCTCAGAGGTCCCTTCCACCCCTCAACATTCTGCAATTCTGTGAGCAAACACAAGTCAGAAGGGTCTGAATAGACCAAACCCTTTGAAATGAGCATGACATAAGCTGGGTTGGCCAGATGAACACATAAAATCATAACCCTAAAATAGAGCCATGAGATACAGGCTAGACAGATAGGAGCTACAAGTACAAACAGCAGAAAATGACAGCTCCAACAACAACATGATGTTAAAACTTTCTTAAATTGCACTAGACAGCATGACAGTCTGATGCAATTTAATCTATTTTTATTTTAATTCCCATCAAGTGGATATTCTTCCATAATTACATTTGTCACAAACAATGAAACACATAAAATGTCCTTTTGGTGGCACAAATAGGAATTCAGACAGACAGCAGTATTCATAGTATTTCAATTATTTTAGACAATCAAACAAAAAGCAATTCAAAGAAGCAAAGCCAGGATCTATCATAACTACACAATTACTGTCAGGCAGATATTCCCAAGACTCTGCTCAACACACCCAGATAGATGACTCCCAAAGTAAATGTTGCTCTACCATCAGCTGATCAGCTACTGCTGTGTCAAATGACTGTTACTTACAGGTGCCTACAAAAATCTGCTCAGGCATAGGGAAATGTAAAAACACCCTTCAGCCACAGGTAATTTTTTTAAAAAGTTAGAGGATTCCCACACTTTATCCAGCACCAAAAACATCCAAAAACTTAGACGAAAATTCCTTTACAAACAAGCGAACTGCGAGCCTGCTGGCAATCAGCCGACAGCTCGTGCCGGGCTGTGTCTGTACAGAGGCTGCAGCAACGCCACCGACTGCAGGCAGTGAGCGCCCCCCAGAGACAGAGCTCGGCATCACACTGACAGCAGCCAAGTGCATTGCTTCAGGAAACATCAACAAAATTATGTTTTCTTCTTTTCTTCCTTTAATTTTCTTCCTCCTTTTGAAATCTCGTCCAAGCATCACACTTTCTTCTATTTGTATTTACAACTGGCTTTCTCCTCTCATCCTTCAATTTTAACTGCAGCGGTGTGAAACACACATGGAATGCAGTGAATTTTATGCCACTCTTGTGTCCTCCCACAAGGAGGTACTGTTGCCAACAAAGTCCTGTCACCCACTCCTGAACTGCACTATTAGAGGCTGAGGGCTTTACAGCTCCAGAGAAACACAGTTGACAATAGGAGCTCATTTACTAAGGGGGGACAGACATGGCAAAGTAGAAAGAATTCCCAACATTTCAGTCTCAAACTTGAGAGAACAGAAATACAAACAAAAAAGAAAAAACCCAGAATGGTTTATAATACAGAATCCTAGAATGCTTTGGGTTGGAAGGGACCTCAAAGATCATCCAGTTCCAATCCCCATGCCATGGGCAGGGACACTTTCCACTATCCCAGGCTCCTCCAAGCCCCATCCAACCTGGCCTTGGACACTTCAGGGAGGGGGCAGCCACAACTCCTCTGGGAACCCTGTGCCAACACCTCAGCATTTTCATAGTGAAGAATTTCTTCCTAGTATCTAATCTAAAGCACCCTAAGTCAGTTTAAAGCCTTTCCCACTTGTAGAAAGTCTCTCTCCAGATCTCTTGTAGGTCCCCCTTGGTTTCTGAGAGGCTCTGGTAATGTCTCCCCATAGCCTTCTCTGCAGGCTGAATAAGCCCAGCACTCTCAACCTGTCCTTAACAGGAGAGGTGCTCAATTCCACTGATCATCTCCATGGCCTCCTCTGGACTGGCTCCAACAGGTCCATGTCCTCCTAACATTGAGGGCCCCGGAGCTGAAGACAGTATTAACACAGAATTCCACGTGCAGTGTCACCAGTAACAAAGCACTTACCAGCTCTTACTTACACCAGCACGTGCAGCCTCAAATTCTGCAGCCATGAACATTAAGCAGAATAAGTACCAGAGAAGGTTGGGAGTCAAGGTCATATCACAGCACAGACCAACCTACCCTTTCTAAAAACACAAGCTTAAACAATACAAGTTTCCAGTGCAATCACCTGTTCTGTTCCTACAAATACCAGCTCCATCTGCTTCAGCAAATGAAAGGATTCTGCTTCAGCCAGCCAGCTGAAGTGACACTATCAGTGTCAGGGCACAGAAGATCAATACCTCCTGCATGTTTCTAATATTCAACACCATGATAAGTCAGATTCTCACAATAGCTTTCTGGAGCTGTTACAGGACATTTCTCTCCTGCCACACAGTCTCTCATTCCACTCAGATACCACTGGATTCTGTTGCATTGCAACTATTTCACCACTGTGTATCAGGAAGTTCCACTTCCACGTCTCATCCACTTCTTCCTAACGTGTAATCAGAGCCACCACACATCCCCATCATGCCTTACTCCCACCTCTTCATTCTCCCTTTCCCACTCAGGGGCACCTGATCCAGTGATGCTGATGTCAAAAGCTATTCTGCAGGGGATCTGTTCCTGGTTTGATGAAAGGACTGTACAGCACAGATTATTTTAAGCCATTTAAGTTGTTCCCAGAACAGAAGCCCCTTAGATGCAGAATACACACATGTACCTCTTCATGGAGGATGAGAAAGTTAAGTTTACTTCTAAGAGGAGGAGAGGGACAAATAAGAACACGGTGTAATACAAAAGATCCCTATACCCTTCCTTTAGTAAATGCCCTTTCAAGTAAGCTCCATTTCTTGCCAGCAAATGGTCGTGTTTTCCCTGCCATCAAACTCTTGCCTCCCCTGTTAAATATCAAAAGACATTAAATATGGCTATTCAAAACATCAAAGTATTTGTTAAAATTTCCTTTTGAAGAGTAACTTAAGGCTCAACATGTAACTCCAGCAAGTAACTTGCTTTCAATTCACTGCTCTGGGTGATGACAGGCTTATCTGGGAACACACTTGAGCATGATAACTGCTAAACACAAGAAACACTGACACTGCAATAGATAGAAACAAGGCAGACAACAACTGTTGTGTTTCTGACTATATATAGTCAGTCAGCAATGGCAGTAAACTCCAAACATTTCAGTTATGCCCATGCAACTCTTTGAGAACTGTAAGCCATCACACCTTGACATAAATGCAAAAACTCATCATCCTAAGGATAATGCTAGACTTCAATTCAGATTACTACAGCAACATTGCACCACATGAACAGCATCAATTGCCTTCAGTTTGATTAAATCTCAGAATCAGGACATGAATTCAAGGCTGATATTTAGTGTCAAAAGCATTCAGGTTGAACAATGTTCCTTACATCCTTTGCATAGAGGTCAGCTACTCCCCAGAACATTGAATTAGAAGACAATCTTTTGAAATGCTGCATGCACGTGAAACCTCTCAGTGAGAGTTTTTCAATACACTTACTTTGGGGTTTATTACACTATTTTAGAATAAAACTGTGGACATAAGTGGCCTCTAACAAAGCTTCACTAAATCAGATCAGGAAATCATGGCAGTTCTTCAGTTACTGGGCCAGTGGATTTCTGGAAGATGCATACAGCCCACTATCCACACACATTCCTGCTGACCCGTTTAGCAGACTTCCAGAAGATGCAAGATGTGGCTGGGCCTGAAAAAGTACTTTCTGGAGAGGAAACAAAGCAAAATGCAGAGAACCTCTATTGAAATGATTGGCTCCAAGCCTATAAATCTTTGGTAAAACTTTGCAGAAGTCAAAGGAAGCAGACACTGTATTTATCCAGGTTCACATGTCTGTCATCCATTATAGCAACACCTTCTTTCAGAGGTCACTAACAGAATTCAGCTGAATTTGAGACTCCAAAATCTCATCTACTGACACTGCCAAGAGCAAGCTGTAGTCAGTGAAGCCATACCCACATCGTGACTTCTGAAGATCGTGACAGATGAATTAAATACATCAAACATTACCCCCACTCTTCACTTTTATCCCATTCATTTGCTCCTTTATTCTCCAAAGCATTATTATGAATAGGATTATCAGAAACAGACTGAAAAATGTCTGTCACTCCTTTAAAAGGAGCCCCAAATTAATGAGCTCCAAAAGTAACAGAGGAGTGTTTCCACACTGGCAATTGGCATTCAAAAGGAGTAAGTGTTTAATGCTCATGGTGCATCCCCACCTGAGCAAGTTCAGCATGTGACACAAGGTAAAACACTAGAGGAGGTGAGACAGTATTTATTCTTTCCAGATCTCAGTGTGCAAATCTGAGTTTGGTTGATGTGAGTGAAATTATCTGAAGCATTTCTGCAAAATTCCATTATCCAGGAAATACAAGCTTCAGCAATGTGCAAAGCTTCCTAATTAATTTAAGATTGTATTGCTAAAAGTACCTGCCAGTCACCCCAGGAAATAATGCCCACAGAAAATTAAATACTGTATGCTATGACATGCATGGCAGGTGACTCTCCCTTCAAAGAGCCTGAAGTAAATAACAGGAGACATTTAACAGCAGCAGAATGTGGCCTGAATAACAGGCAATGAAGTTGCATGTGATGTAGCACACCACAAATTAAAAACAGCACACAGCTTCAAAGGTTAAAGATATCTGCAAAATTAAGCAACTGCTGCCTTTTTTGCAGTTGTTTCAACAACTTCTTAAAACTAACCTGTGCAGTTTGGCAAATCCTTGGAGGAAGATGGGCTGCAACCACACACTTCATCATTGCATAATGATAGGTGATAACACGGACTTAACTTTCTTTTAGAATGTATGAGGCATATATAATCTACTTTATGTATTATTTATTTTTGTAGTTACCTCTGGTCTTGGCTGAGAATCAATAAGTAATATAAAAATATTTCACATTTTCAATTTCTCTATGTATAAAAATCAATATAAAACTACATATTTTATTCTTACCTTGTGTTATCAGCCTGTAATGGATGGGCTAACATTTTAAGAGTACTCCAAAGTGAATGATTTTGCAAGAGCCTCAGCTGCTCAGTGTGACAGATAACAGTGATATTTGCTGGTCATAACGCTTTTAATCACAAAGGACCTCAAGGTATCTCAGACACCTTATGCATAGATCAAACTCTAAACCACTAAACCACAGCCATCTCTGGATTCAGAGGAAGCCAAAAGCAAGTAATCACTGTCCTGAACAACAGCAGAGACTCAGAAACCACCCCAGCTGCATGGGCAAGATGATCAAATAAAATAAATTTACATTTAAAGAAAAACCTGATTAAGCTCCATCTTTAGTAAGGGCAGGATGATATCATTAAAACATATATGAACTTTAACTTGTGATTTCTGCAGGAACATATTTAGGGTGTTGGTCATGTGACTCATGGCCTTCGTGCTTACCCAAATATTCCCAGTTTCCATGGGGAGAAGTAAAACACACGAAAACAACGGAGAGCTTGAAAGAAAATGGCTACAACATTCTCTGCAGATCACAAAAACTAGCCCAGTCCTGGGAATCAGGTTCAAAATGGAGAGGTTAAGTCAGGAGGACACACAGCATGACACAACTCACCTGAGAGGAGCTGCTCTATCAAAAGGGGATGACTCTTAGGGTAGGTCAAAGGATCCATCTTCCTCCTACTCTCAAAACATACCTCCACAATGGACTATTATACCTTCCCAAATGAAATCCTTACTAATGCACAAAAGAGGCAAGATTTTAGGTTTTAAATTTTTAACTGAAATGCCTTAAGCCGAGATTCAGATAAACAGCTCTTTCAAGAAATTAAAATATACGTTAACTTTTAGCCGTGCTTGACAGCCACTAAAATGCTCAAGAGGCACCCTGTCCTCATGAAAAGAAAAGAAAACACATTCCAAACAACAAAACTTCCACTGATATATGTACTTTTTCCCAACGGGGCCCAGCTTGCATGTTTCAGCTCCTTATAGGTGCTACCCCAGGATATAAGATTAGACAACTCCAAGTTCACACACTTGTATACCACAAGGCATTTGCCACAGGTATGCCAGCTTCACTTTGACACCAGGAATGGTTAAACCAACTCCTCGTGGTGCCTGAATTGTTTGCCATGTACTTACTCTCTTTCCGCACATCAGCGAGAGCTGCATGAAGCTCCTCTTTAAACACAACTGCTTCCTTGGCAATTTTTTCTCCCTTGTCCAACAGATTCCAAGTGGCTTCTTCCACAGAAGCAAGCAAGACACGAGCTCTCTTAGAACGACCCTTTTTCTTACTCGAAGGATTCTGTGGACAGTTCACTAACGTTGTAACCTACATTTAAAAGAAACAATAATGGTTTAAGTTCTACAAGTGAATTTATATTGCTCTCTAAAATAAAATATAATTAAGAATAAGCAAAGAGATTCCCTCTGCTTTAGAGACAGACAGGCAAGCTCAGCATAAACACAAGAATGGGCAAAAATACTGAATTCAATCTGATGCAATTTTACTCAACGTGTGTCATCTTTGTTTTCTGTAAGATCAAAGCAAAGTTAACAGAAATGTCACTCTTCTATTAACCCTGATGCCAACTCCTGCTCATGATACAATAAAAAAGTACCAGGGCTATCTGAGGAGGCTTCAGCGAGGCAGGAATCATGGGACCAATAAGGCAGAAAAAGATCTCCAAAATCATCCAGTCCAGCTGTCAAGCTATCACTGCCAAGTGCACCACTAAACCATGTCCCTAAAAACACCACATCCATGTGCTTTTTGAATACCTCCAGGGAGGGTGACTCCACCGTGTCCCTTGGCAGCCTGTTCCAATGCCTGACACTCCTTTCAGGGAAAGAACTTTTCTTAATATCCAATCTAAACTTTCTTTGGTGCAACTTGTGGCCATTTCCTCTTCTCCTAGCACTTGTTACTTGGGAGGAGACTGACCCCATCCCACCACAGCCTCCTGGCAGGGAGTTGTAGAGACTGAGAAGCTACCTCTGAACCCCCTTTTCTCCAGGCTGAGCCCCCTCAGCTGCTCCTCCTAAGTCCTGTGCTCCAGCCCTTTCCCCAGTTCCTTTGCCCTTCTCTGCACAGGCTCCAGCACCTCCATGTCCTTCCTGTCATGAGGGGCCCAAAGCTCAACACAGGACTCGAGGTGTGGCCTCAGCACGGCACAATCACTGCCCTGGTCCTGCTGGCCACACCAATTCTCATACAAGCCAGACTCCCACTGGCCTTGACCAGCTGGGCACACACAGGCTCGTGTTCAGCTGCTGTCAGCCAGCACCCACAGGCTCCTTCTTCCCAGAACTGCTGGCTCTTCCCATTCTTCCAGCTTAAGGCTTGCAAGTATTCCAGAACAAAGCAGACACGTTCAAAATGCTTTCTCTTCTTACCACAGGGGTATCCCAGTGGCCAGAGCTCAGCACCTCCAAATTCTTCAGGGTGCTCTCAACATTAAAATTGTACATCAATTTGCCCGGTATTGCTGCAGATTTACTGCAGCTTAGTCCAAATTGTATTTTTACCAAAGCACTTCAACATCCATAAAGAACTTATTTTTATAGACCATCCCACTCCACATTCCTCATCATCTGAGTACAGCCTCCACACTCCAACAGAATGTTTCTGAAAGACTATTCTCTAAGGCATTGCTTGAGCTGTAACACTAAAGAAAGACTCCCAAAACATTTTTCTCAAGTGTTATACAGATATTTTAAAGCACATCTTATTTTCATGAAGTTCACTGACACTTTCTCATCTTCCTATCCTGTTCTCTCTGCCAGAACATGGGTAGTACAGTGCTACATGTGCCTTAGCTCACCTTCAGATCTTGTCCATGAATTCATGCACTTGAGTGCTTTTCATGAATCATTACTTCTGAATGGAACTGTGGAATATCCTCCGGGTAACATTTCTATAAACACATCTATGAAACATAAAAGCCCTGACCCCTGCACCAGTCATGTGCAATTTGAGTGGGAAAGGATCATCCACTTGACATCAACTGCTTTGGCATGTCACAAGGGAGAGAGCAACATAAATAAGTCTGGCTCAGATTGTTAAAGAAGGCTCGGGTATTTTTCTGACTGTGGCTCAAAGGAAGAAAATGGAATTATTTATTGCACATAAATCATCCAGCTAGTAGAGAATGCACTGGGAATAAAAATCTTTATCTTTTATTTTTACAAACTGTCCAATGTCAGTTTTAGAACATTTAAGACCGTTTCAATGACCACATCTTTAAGAATGAGTTAGAGATTACAGGCTAATACTTCCAATAAGAAAGGCATAAAACACCACCAAATATTAGAAGTGGCCCAAAAAAATACTATCAAATAAAAGTCTTTTTATAAATTTCAAGCATTTAATCACTATTTCACTAGAAAATAATGTATTCTACTTTGCAGGTTTTTACTTTAGGTTTTTTTATGTAAAATACCAGTCTATATACTGTTCATTGATATGTTGAGGAGGAAAGGAAATAAAGCAAATGAAGACGTATAAAAAATAATCATTCCTGCAGGTGAAAACCCTTGACTGTAAGACCCTGCATCTTCAGCATCACTGTCAGGAAATATTGGAGGCAGTAGCTGATCTTCAATACAAGTCAAAATTTGTCAGATAGCTCTTTGCTCATGGAGATTATGGAAAACAGAAAAACTACTCTGAACTTCTCTAACACAGAATCCCAATGAGGAATGTAAAACCTTTACACAGTCCTACCCAAAACAGAAAGAACTGAACCACAGACGAATACAGCGTGACATTGTCAACAGAGCTTGTACTGTAGTGGCAGAACACACAGCCACTGGTAACATCATAATAAGAGAAAAGAAAAGCATTTCCCCATTAATCCTGCTCATGGAGTTCCCAGCTGTGAACACCTTCTGGCTGCCACGCACAGCAGGTCCCCCAGCCCAGCTCTGGTAGGAGCAGCACTGCTGTGCTAAAGGCACGAGGGGTTTCTAAACCATTTTCTAGGCCATGTGCCACCACATTTAGATACAATCTCTTAATACTGCAGTAGTTCAGGAAGCAGTGTCTTGATATCTTGAGCATCATAATATTTGGTTCACCTTTATCTTAATATAAAAAGTATTTTTAAGCATCAATCATAAACCATTCTTTTTTGCTAACAGTGTAGTTCGGTGTAACTAGATGTCAATCCCCAGATATTTAAGAAAAACAAGACATGAACTCAGTGACCCAATGACATCAGAACCCCTGCCACTGTTTCAAATCCAAAGCATTGCCCATACAAACAAACACTGGCTAGTCCCACCCAGTGAGCAGAAGGTAAATTCACCATATGTAGAACTAAAAGCAACAGTGTGTGTTCTCCCTGTGAGCAAACGTCTGTGGTGTGGATGACAGGTGGGAATAGCAGCCTTTCAACATGCCTGTTTTCCATCAGTCATCCAAGGGACTCCAAAATGCAGGGATTTTTCTACACATTGTGTCAGCTGAGCCATGCTAACTTGGGCATTGACCTTTCTTAATATGCTAGATGTGTTGATTGAGAACTGGACTGAGAAGCCTTCCATTCAAAACTAACATCTTCGTATCAAATAAAGGCCATAGACAGAGGGAAACCCCCAGGACAATTTAGGGACATTGTTTTATTCCAACGATGGAGAAGTTGCCAGCTCACAGAGGGTTTTACACAAAACAGTTGCTAGGCTATTTTCAGAGTTTCACAGTAACCACCACTGCCAATTGCACAGTGCAGGGAAGAGAGTCAATCCAGCAAGTGATTTGCAGCTATTTCCACAACTATTTCCTAGTTACTTCCCAGGCTGGTTTTGCCTCAATTTTTTCCTATATTGATGCTGTTAATCTAATGACTGCCCTAACACTCAGCCAAACTGGCTAGGACAGGCTTCAGAGAACCTCAGGAACCTCCATTGTTTCTCTCCTGTCACAGCATTACAAGACTATGAAACAAATAAATTACAACAGAAATCTCAAAATAAAGTTAAACTTTGTTCCAAGCAGCAGTTGCTAAAGCGAATCTGGCAAGAACATAATTTTTATCTGTGACTGCTCTGATTCTCTTTTTAATCACAGATTAGTTTTAATTTATTACCTTTCCAGCCTCTCAATCACCCTTTGTTGAGTATGAGCTTTAATCCCTATTTTTATATTTTTGACATTTTCTTTCAAAGGATCCACTCAAAACATAAATTTTCCTTCCACAGGTCTGAAAAAAGAAAAGCATTAAGCTTGAGAGAGGGAAAAGAGTCAAAATTTTCTCTTAGAATCGAAGTATTTCCAATTTGAATAGCCTCAAGCTTTTCAATGGTTGAGAAGAGTTGGGAGAAAAAAAAAAAACTTAAATGGTTTCTTTGTTTTATTCTGGAACTGTACGTTTTTTTGTCAGGTTTCTTCAATCCTGCAAAACTCAACCCAAAATTTACTTTTCTTTACCTCCTCTAAAAACACCCACAGTGTTGCAGCTGCCTGAGCACAGTCTGACCTACTGATCTACAAGAGGTTTTTAAATTCAGTCTATCAAGGCATCTACTCTTATTACTTTGAAACTAATTTTGTAACCCATCCACATATCCTTGACAACTTGCACAAACCACTGACCTAGTAACTGAGGGTTTTTACACCATCAATCACATCCAGGCAAAAATAAATAAACTAAGGCAGACAAAATGAGAGAGAGGCAGCTCAGTCAACAGTAGCTGGAAATGAAGTCATGACAGAAAAGAAGAGGTTACTTTCTGAGGAAAGTAACCTTCCAGAAGGGAAAAACGGGTAAGGGAGGAAAAGACAAAAAAAAAAAAATTCAAATATGACAATGAATAATCAATAAAAGAAACTGGATGAGTTAGGGAGAGGCAAAGCTTCAAATGGGGAAAATACCACTTTATTTTTAAAGAATTACTTATTTCATGCATTGGAAATCCATTTGCAGTGTATTCTACATTTAAGCATCTCCCAGATACCACTGTGCAAGAGATCAGGCAGAGCATGCAGCATTTACTATGACAGAGGGGTGGCAAAGCTGGAAGTGACCAAAGGAATGATCCAATCCGGAAGGCAGAGCCCTGGAGAGCTCCTGAGCCAGAGGAAAGTGCAGGTGCAGAAGAGCTGTGGGTGTGACCTTCAGAACAACGTCCTTAGCCCGAGTTCTTCACCTTATTCCCTTCCCTCTATGGTTATCCAGCTTACTTCCTGCAACTCTAAAATACCTGAATTATCAGTGGTTCCAGTAATTTCTCCACTGTAAATGTCTGGATCTGCAGATTCCGAGGATCAATTTTCAGTTTAATGTTTGGCACTTTTGTTGACATTTCACCTGGGTAGAAAACAAGAGAAGTCCAATAAGCCAATTAACCATGACTACAAGCCTCATTGCCTTCTGTCAGAGCCCAGAGACTGCCTGAGTGAGTATGAACTTGCTTCATAACAGGCTTAGGATTTCAAGGCATACAATTAACTTTTCCAATTCCCCATTTCTAAATTGTGAAAAAAATATGCTGATACTTACATAAACTGTAAAATCATAGACTTCAAGTACTTATAACTCCTTATATTCACTCAGAGATTCCTACCTTGACCACACATTAAAAAAAAAAATACAAGGACAACCGAATTACCATTGGATAAAAGTCCTCTACTAGTCTAAAAAGGAGCTTTAAAGCAAAAATATTAAATTCCATTACTGAATTTATCACAAAACAAAAACATTGTTATGTGTACTACATCTGTATCTTACTCCATGTGCTAATTTACAGGGGTTATAATAAGCACCTTAAGAACAATAAGTATACACAGAGGTACTTAAAATGTCTGGAAATTAACAGAGGGAAAAAGTGAAACATTTTGTTATTTTATACTCCGCAATAACAAATATTTTTTAAGTGTCAAGACAGATTAAGTTGAGAAAGCCTATTACTGAGATCAATAAGATGGAAGTAAAGCTAAGTAAGGCCTTTAAAGTGAATAAATCATTAATTAGGAACTTGATGCAGAATCTACTGATGTGAATTAATAGTTTCCACCAAGTTCACTGGGCCATGGCTCAGGCCATTAGCCTGAAATGTGTGTGTGTCAACAAAGAATTACAACTGCTTTAGTTGGTATTGCAACCGATTATCGGCCCAAAATAAAAGACATTTTAAATTTTGCAGTAACGTAACTTCCCATAAAACACAGCTTGGCAAAGCCTTTTTAGCCAAGAAAGACTTCAAATACACAAATAATGGATATCTGTCCTTTTAAAGCAAGACTTATTACAACCACTGCTGCTGTATAATAAAGTAATAAGGTACTGCAATTGTGCAGGCTGAAGAGATGTATTGTCACCTTCCAGTGACCCTAGCGCTGATTGAATACAACACAGTAGGTTTGGGGTTTCTACAGCAAGTGGGGTAGAAATGGATCTGGAGAGCTACCCACATTTCACTTGCAAGCAAAGATAATATGAGCAATCATTAAAGAACTAAGGCATAAAGCAATTTAAGGCTTTGCCATTCTTATTAAAGGTTACACGAGTGTCAAGTTTTTCTTTTATTACAAACTATTCTAGTGGCAGAGCTAAGTTCCCACAAATTCAGCTGCATCCAGCCAGGTGACAGCACATGGAATGAACTGATTTTTCAGCTATAGTTCTGAGCCAAAAGGCAAAGAAAAGAGAAACCTGAGATCAGACTGACCAGAGGAAAAAAAACAAACACTTTTCCTTCCATGGATGTGAATGGAAAGAGAACTCTAGAAATGTCCATCATAACAGTTGCAAGCAGATGGTGTGGACTGTGCTGTGAATTCTTTTCTGGTCAAACACACATGAGTGGCAAGGGGACAGGTAAAGAGGATGGAGACAGCACTTGGTGCTTCTGCTGGGACCTAAAGAAACCACTGGCTGACTCGGGTTAATTTTTTGCTGATACACTCAGGCTTTAACCTTGCAGTGGCTTCCCCACAACTCATTCATAGAAGGGTGTCAGCTTTACTCAAAATGGAGAAATTAAACCTTTTTGCTGCTTGCTCTCCATCCTCACAGCACCATCTCCTCTGCTACATGTTATCTATAATAATCAGGTTCTTTCTAAACTTTGGCAGATAAATATGTAGCTGTAATTAAAGTCAATTTCTGTTATAGAGGGATCAGTGTGCTCCAGAATCCCATCACACAGCACTCTCAAACTTGGGAAGTATTACAAATCCAACCCCATTTTTGCAGGTCGGAAAAAATGTGAATCCATGTGTCACGACTTTGTCTCTTCTGGGTTGTTCTGTGGTTTTTGCTTGTTTGTTTGTTTGTTACTCTTAGCATATTGTCTAACATCAGCACTTTTATTCTTTGCTTGAGCCCTGAGTTCAGAAGCCAGTTAAGCCAATAATAGCTTTTAGCCTTGAGTCAGGCCCACAACGAAACATCAACTGAAAGTCAATTGCAGAAACTACTGTCTCTGAAAATTTCTATTATATTCTAAGATATAAATAACTCACTTAGGTGCTCACCTGCTGATTCCAGCAATATTTTTTAAGTAAAATTCTAATGCTTCCTGAAAGTTCCTTAAAGCAGAAAGACAGAAACAGTTTTGCAAGCCAATGCAGCAAAAACTACAAGATCTTAAATTATTTTGATAATCTGACTACATTTTTTAAGCTTACCAGGCTCTCCTTACTGTTACATACCATATTGGCTAATCAATATTTAAACTGGATTCTTTAATTACTTTTTTTAATTACGGCAAGGATAAGAGATAATAGAAACAAAAATACACAGCCAGTAAAGATCATCCTGGGATTTTCTCTGGCATTTCCACTTATTAAGTGAACCTCTGTCCTTCCAGATCATCTTCATTAAGACGACAAAATCTGATGTTTGCCTCAGGAAAAAATGAAAATCAACATTCCACCTTCCTTTTTTTTGTTTTTAATGCATTTGTCTACTCCAATATAACACTCCCCTAACTCCAGCCGGGGCCTTAACTGCGAGGTATTTTGGTAAAAGGCTGTATAACCTCACACTCAGTTCGATTAACCTTTCCAGGAGGCAATCTCAGCCCTGCACACCAGCAGCTCTTACAACACTTTAGGATGTTAAGCATGTGTTGCAAGATACAGTTGTGTCCCAGAACAGCCAGAAAAGCAACCACCTGCACACTCCTACCAAGTGCCACCAACCTCGAGATAATGAAAATTTTGTCTTTCCATCAGATGTCAAAACTACTGAGTCTGTTGGTGTAAGAAGAAAAACAGCCAAAGTCTATATCCATCTGCAATGCAACTTGAACACAGCACCTGCAGCTTTTTTTTAGAATCTGTAAGTACACTATACAGACATAAACTAGTAAGTGTCAGAAAGCAGAGCCAAAGACATTCTGCACAAATTAGAAAATCTTTACTTTAGAATCCATTTCCTGCTAGATTGTTAGAAAGCCAACAGTGCATCACTCACCTATCCTAGAAAACATATGGTCCATATTCAGCACTAAAGCAACTGTCTATGTAATTTCCTTGTATTAGGAACTTCAGTGCAAGTGCCTTGGCTCACCATTGGGCTTCTGAGGCATCTGCAAGGCACTGCCTGACAAGCTCGCCAGTGTATTTCAGGATGAGTGACAGCACACAGCGGCTGCTGGACGGCTGGCAGGGGGATGGGCACCCTTAAAGCTGTAGAGCAGAGCATAAGCGTGCCAAGGAAGTTTAGAGCTGAAAAGGTTTTGAACAATTACACGACACGAAGTATGAAATTATTTGTACTTCCAGTGATTATCCTTGGAATCTTCAGCACAGTAACTGCTTTACCATGCATTCTGACTGTATGTCTACTGCAGTCTGGAGCCAATGACTCACTCTCAGGCTCTGGAACTGGACAGCAAAGGGATTCATAAAGCTCTCACCCAGCAACTTGGCACCAAATTTGTTTTCTCTGTTGTTTTTTTTCTATTGTATGGTACTCTACAATGACACACAATACATTATCCTAGCAATTGCAGAAAATGCCTGTTGCCTTCTAAAAAATGTAGAAAAGTTAAAACAAAGTAGTCAGGATTTGTATTTTTTACCAGGATGCATATGGACAAGGCATCTGAGGATTTCCAAGATATGAAGCATTGCTGGGAATACGGAATAGAATATTTTTACTATCTCTTCTTAATTTCAGTATTTCCTATAGAGCTTCATTAATTGTTACCAACAGCACTCTGGGAATAAAACTTGTTAGCCTTTTTGCTATAGTCAGTACAGCGAGTGCAAATCAGACTTCAGAGAAGCCACAAAAACAATTCCTGCATTTCCCTTTAATCTTCTAGCTGCCACACAAAATAAGATATTCAGGATGCCAAAATCTTCCAGTGAAGACAAAGAAAAGTCCATGCTGTTGTACTGCAAAGACCTCTTGTACTCTGTAGGCCAGACCATGCTCTGGAATGGAGCAATATCTCTGACACCTGGGAAGCACCTGGCCCATTTAACACCAGGTAAAACCTAAAAAGCACCTGCTAAATTATTTAAATTTCCAGACAAATCTGTCAGACTACTCTCCAGCCATCTCAGAATTCATCATGTCTTACCACTAGCAACAAGAAACATGGCTATTAATGCACAGACACCACAAAGGAGACCTGGAGAAGGTGGCAAGATTCAGACTCATTAATAACATTTATTCACTGAAAGCTACTTTATTTAAATAGGCTTTGCATTTAGGTGTAGGCTGCAATGAAGTAACTGGAAGATTTTTTTAATCTTAGCCCCAAAAATGAAAACCAAAATACCACAGCAGTTCTTCTTGCATCTCCTTTCAATTCTGCCTGCGTTTACTTTCTCCCTAGAGCATTTTTTCAAACCACATCTCAAGAGCAGTTAAAATTCAAAAGAACATAAGATTTCCACCAAGGCCTTAACACAGCTCTCAGCATAAATAATGTGATGCATCATACTTTACAATCAATCTACCAAGGAAAAGAGCCTAAGCCTAGTTCTTTATGGATATTGGAGAATCCCCATGGCAAACAATGGGTCATGATTGACCTAGTGGCATTAAAAGGTTTAATTAAGGTATATGAAAAAAAAAACAAAACACTTTTGAGGTGAGATAAAGCATCACACCTCATGAAAACCTTCTTATATCTAGTGAGATAAAAATTTAAGATTTTTCCCAGGTTTCTAAAACTCAGAAAAAGCTCTCTTTTCCTTGTTTAGTAATCACGTTTACTTTTCCTACAGTGCATTCTATCAAAGCACTGTTTCAAGCAGAGGTTGTGTTCCAGTATCACATAAGGAAACAGAATTACAGAGGAAAAATTTTTAACTCAAGATCAGAGAGAATGCCAGTGGCAGAGTACT